AAATAACAATAATTAGATAATGCAATGGGATGTACAAAGATAGATTAGTTATTACTCATGACATGTCATCAATCCTTTGCAAAAAAAAAGGACCCATCACATGCTCCTAATTGAAAATTTTTAACCAATCATATTCATTGTAATTTGACACAAGGATTACGAGTGAGATTAGGTAAGGATGAGTGAGAAAGCATTAAATATAAAACAGAAAAAGAAAGTTGATTTACTAAAAAAAAAACTTACCAAAAATAGAAAAGGAGGAATATAATTTTGGAATACCAAAATTAAAAAGGAGGAATGTAATTTAGGGACGGGGGGAGTACCTTCTTTCTTTTTAGTTGACACATATTCCTTTTTAAGAAGTTTTTTTTTTAGTTGACACATTTCCTTTTAGGAAAATTTTTTACCTTGTATTTACAAGCTACCCCACTAGCTTTTTCATTCTCTCTCTCCTCTCCTTAATATATGTGCCTAAATCAAACACGTCAACTACATACAAACGAAAGAAGTATTTAAATAATGACTTATAATTTTAGTAGAAAAAATAATTACTTATCAAAAGTATAATAGGTTAATAAGCGGTATCAAAAGTATCTTATATTCACTTATTTTATACTTTAGGAGAATTAAATTTAAACAAGGACTCGTAATTTTAGTAGAAAAAATAATTATAATAGGTTAATTAGCGGTATCAAATTTTTAATTTATCTTTAAGACTATATTGAGTTCTAAGAATTGTAGAAAAATTTATATAAGTGAGTGAAGAACAACACCTCATAAATAAATCATTCTTCATTTTAATAGTTATATTTATTCTATTTTCACGCATATGAATGCATATTTTAAACCGATAATATTACCATCAATCAAACTAACAAGGGGGAAAATATGATGTTTAAGAAGTATATATATGTTGATATTTATAACAAGATTTTACTAAGCTATAATTTGTTTCCCTTGCAAATTAATCGTCATAACCATTGTCCATAAATTGTGTAAAACTAAAAAAAAAAAACTATGAAAATCATTTTTTTTTTGTTGATCTCTTATAATTACAAATTTACAAGGAAGAAAACAAAGACATTAAGGCCTTGTTTGGTACATCGCTAGTAGTTGATTCAGTTATTGATATGGTCGGTTATATTATTAACTGATTTGATTAGCGGGTTATATTAGCTGATTATAAATTGTTGATTGTGTAAAAGTGTTTGGTAAATAGTACTCCCTCCGTTTTTATTTTTTATTTGCATCACAACAGACGAATTTGATTAGCAAATTAAACAAGTACAAACTAGCAACTTGAGGCATCGCCGAATACTCCGCGCATTTACAAGTGATGCAAATAAAAAAATAGTAAGAATTGTTGGTTTCGAGTTTAAGTCTTGCCATAAACATTTTTTAGTTTTCAAACTCAATCATTATATAATGGAAATAAATAGTATAATAAGACACAAATTTGTTGGAAAAAATACCTGTTGATTCCATGAATAAAAATAGACAAATCAAGAACTTCCCTAGAACAAATTCAATCTCCATACTCGAACCAAATACCTGTTCTCCTTCAGTTGTGCCGTGGTTTGGAACCCACTGACTTAGAAGCAAAATACGTCACCATCGGTACAAGTATCCTAGTGACGCACGCCCCCCAAGTTTTACACAACGACCTCCATAATTCGTGTACCCGAATTTGAAGGTTGGAATTGCTCAAGAACTGTTCAGATATCAAAGGGGTAGGCTTGTGTTTATGTGTTTAGGGTTCAATAATACCGTGTTATGAATTATTAAAAGAAGTAGACAATACTCGTATTTTATATGTATCCCAAAAATAGGAGACAAATAAAAAAAACCCACTCAAGCAAATTAGGTGGGCCTAATCGGGCAATGGCCCACCCAGTCGGCCACGAGTATTCCTTGGAACGTTTAATCCCCCACGAGTGCGGATCGTCAGGCCTTGCAATTAACCGATTGCATTACCATTTCCAACAATCCCCCACTAATGCAAGCGGATTAACAACATGAAATCTGAACATTAAATGAAAGTCTCAGTACTTAAATGCTAGTATCCGAAGATTTGAACTAACACATTAGTGCACAATGTTTTCAACACTTCCCTAATGAGTATCCAAAGGTTTGAACTCCTAGGAGCGAGGAAGGGACCTTGGGAACAAAGGTTTTGACAGTCAGCTTTTGACAGCTTTAATTTTACCTACGACCCAATGATCATGTGGAAGGTCCAAAGGTTTAATCCCATTACTAAACTAATTAGGATTAATTAGAAACTTCCACAAGTTTCTAAAAGATCTTAATTATCCTTTTTGAAATGATAAAATTAAAGAATTTGAAATTGAATAAAAACTTTCTTTTTTTAAAACTTTCCTTTTTTTAAGTCTTAATTCTATTTGAATTTAAAGATGTTCAAAGACAGTCAGATATTATTTTTGTGCCTCATTATTTTTATCCAAATAATATATGGTTGGATAGATCTTGAAATTATCTTTCCAATGATATATTATAATGTTAATTCCGAGCTATAACGAAAAAGATATGAAAGGAATATGAAACTCTATCCAAAACTGACACCCTTCCACTCTATTTGGGCGATATCTTTTTGTCTACAAAATATTTTAATCTTATTCTAATTAGGTTGGAAAGTAGACTTCAATAGCTTTTCAACGACATACTTATTTGGAATTTTGGATCAAAGATATGATAAAAACAAAATCCGCAAAAAATTGTCCCAGCGCCAAACGACAGGTCTGTCGGTTGGCGCTAATACCCGTCGTCTAGCGCTAACTCCTGTCGTTCGCAACAGGAGATTTTTTATTCCGAATGGGACTCGATTTCTTTTCAATCGGTTTTCGAACTATTTTTCTATAAATAAGGGTCGTATCCCCCTGTTTTTATTCATTCACAACCATCTAATTCTATTCTTTCTCTAAAGCTAGAAGCTTATTCTTTCTCTTTATTCTCTTTCTAAGCCTTCCCCTCTTACAAAATTCCACATTCACAAATTTTAGACACACCTAGCCAAGTTTGAAGTTGCCTTGTCCTAGACGTGAATGGTTGATAATTTCTAAGGGTTTGGTCCCAAATCTCTGTTTCAACTATTTAAATTAATAGTTTGATTGAATATTTTCCTTGAAGTTAATAACGCGTGTATTTTTGTTATTAGAAAAAAAATACGAGGCATCCAAGTAAGTAATTTAATTACTTTGTTATTATTTTAATATAGATTTCATGCTTTAATTATTTTAATTCCTAGTATCATGTTAGAATGTCTTTATGATTCCTAAAATCATGTTTAGGGTAATAACTAAAATTTCTAATATCATGTATGCTTCTGTGGGATGCTTCCTATTCTTTCTTATATCATGTTAGGGTTAAAGATTTGATCTTTAATGTTTAGTGGCATGCTAGGATTTGTTATTAATATTGTTAGTATCATGCCTAGGATCTTGCTAATATTATTATGCTTTATTGAGATTATTATGATGATTATTGTTATTATTGTTGCTTGATATTATTATTTTTATTTCTTGATCACGCCTTTTATGCATACTTAAAGGGAATTTATACTTGTAATCAAGCTTAATAAGATAATTAATAATCTTGTTTAGGCTAATATGATTATAATTCAACTAGTGATCGCCAATAATAGTTTTGTTTGTGCATTAATATTCACCCAACATAGATTAAACAGTTTTAGGGTTAATCTATTGATTGTATGTTAGTCAGAAAGCGCACATGAATACGAGAAGAATAAATTAGAGACCTATTATTAGGGCAGGTTCAATCTCTTTTAGTCTGGATTTGTACCTTCATCCCCGAATATCCAGTCATGGTTATAGACCACTATGGATTAGCGATCTCATGGATCGTGAAGGGGTGTAACCTTCACCCTGTGAATGGTTTCCAAGTTCCTAAAACTTGTTGGCGACTCTTTTACTCTAACTTCCTTCCCTTTGGACGTCACCGTGCTTAAGTGTATGATCACAGTGGGACTCAAGTGTGCGATACTTGAAATATTCCCTACAACGCCATAACCCACAAGTGGCCTTGACGCCAGAACTCACAAATTGCCTTGACGACAGACTCACAAATGGCCTTGACGCCAAAAAACTCGTAGCAAAAAAAAAAAAAAAAAAAAAAAAAAAACCTTGTAAAGACTTGAACTTTGTTTTTGTTAGTCAATTTTCGAAAGTTTTTACCAAAGTGTAAATTCGCCTATTTTGGCTTTGCTATATGAATAAAAACAAAAGTTAGAAACACTTGCATAAGTTAAATTCAAATTTCTACTAATAAAGTGCAAATAGGAAATGAAGAAAGCAAACTGTTCAAAGTACAAACCGCCACAAACAAGGCGTCCAAAACACAAAGTACAAAGTTCAAAAGTTCAAAAAACAACAGTCAAGCAAAATATCAAAAGAAAGACACCAGCAGTCAAGCATCCCGAGTAGCCTCCTCAACATTCTGAACTGGAGTTTCAGCTAAGGCATTAGACGCGTCCTAGACGTCAATTGGCATCGACTCGGCTGTGGACTTGGCCTCTTTAGCATCCCTTTCCGTCTAAGATTCGATGTCAGTTGCAGTGCCCAAAGACTGGAGGAAGACGTCAATCTTTCTCTGAGCATCTTCCTTTGTCAAGCGGTTAGCCAGGAAACGTCTCAATATCTTGGCACGACCTGTCAGCTGCTCCAAGCATTTGGAGTTCTTGGCGTCCTCTTGGGCATCAACCAGCTGTGTCTCCAGTTCAGACACGTTCTTAGTCAGGTCAGCAACATTCTGGTTCAACTCCTCAACACTTTTATTTAAACCTGCAATTTCATTATTTTTCTCCTTCATTACTTTCTGGGCAGCGTCCAACGAACACTTAGCCTTAACTAATTCTTCATTGCTGGCGCAAGCTTCCCCTATAGCAGTGGTGAGCGCATCCTTGAAGTTGTGCATTTATTTTTCATTTGAGATGAAATGGCCCATGATGGCCAACAGATCTTGAAAAGCCTGCAAAAAGCAAAGTGAAGTTAAAAGAACTATAAGGCATTCAGCAAGAGATAGGAAGAAAAGACAACGCCCTTACATTCAATTGCAGGTTGATAGCTTCCCCCACTATTTCAGGAGGCTTGAAGTGACTTAGACGCTTCGCAGAACCAGTGAAAAATATTTTTTCAGTGGTAGGCCACAGCGACGCAGCATTTGGCTCCCCAGATAGAAAACTGGCAGGAACCCTGACTTCATATTCCTCTTCCTTAATCTGTTTATCCTTGGAAGAAGAAGCAGAACGAGCGTTGGAAACCTTCTCAGCAGGTTTTTTCTTAGGTTTCTTCTCGGAAACCCTGAAATCAATAGGCTTGGCGTCAAGGACTACCTCAGCAGCAGTGGAAGATGCAGGGGCAATAGATGTCTGCTTCCACTTCTTTTTAGCCTTCTCAAGCATTTCTTCCATAGACATGGAATTGACTCTGGTCTTAGAATAATGGGCTGCATCTGAAGTAAATTGAAGCGTCTGAATAGGCAAGGGTCCCAAAAATCACATTAAAATAAGACGTCACCTAAGTCATGGCCAAAGTTTCGTCAAGAATCCTTACGTCTTCCTTCGAGTCAGAGCTCGAACGCTCTAAGTCCTCAGCACCAGCATAGGGGAACGTTCTATCCTTCAACGGAAACTTTTAAAAAAACCTTTCACCTTGTCGTCACTCTTATCTCCAGCAGCAACCGCGTTAATCACTGCAAAACGTAACATATAAGAAAAGAGTCAACAACAAACGCCGACAAACAACGAAAAGACAGCGAAATATTCCTCAACTACGCCATCCAATCCTTATCCATTGGGCGTCTTCCCCCAGAGTTTTCTTGTCAACGAAAACATAACGCGCCTTCCACCCACGGTCGTTGGTGTTTACTTTCCCAACTAAGGCAGAACGGCCACATCGCACATGAAGGGTACATCTATTGAAAGCTTCAACGTAGATTTTGTATACATGAGCTAAGTCCGAAAGATTAAAGGGCTCTTCCCAACCTTCAATCACCTTCTCAATTACTTGGGCGACCTTGCAGACTAGAGGCAGCACTTGTCCTGGGCTCAGGTAAAGCACTTCCATGAAAGAGCGTGTTAGAGCACTGAACTGGAAGTTAAACCCTAAGTAAAAGACAATGTGACCTTCGGGGAAATTTTCAGGACGTTTGTCTTTAGAAGGGAGTACCATTAGAGCACTCTCAGGGAAGCCTGCCATGGAAGCAAAGGACGGAAGCTCCTCTTCAGTAATTGTGCTAGCAGGATTCTCATGCGTCGCCATAATTTCAATAAGTAAATCCCTAGTTTTCTCAAAAATTCTAAGTGAAAACCTAGAACTCGAACTACCCCCTTTAATCTCAAGATAGAAAATAAAATTAAAGAAATTAAAAGCCAAAGTCGAAGAAATGACCTGAACAAGAAAGAGAAGTTTTCCCCAGAAAGATCTCAAGAAGCACCAGAGTTCTCCAAACTGAAAAGTTGAATTCTTTTTTTAAATAGTTTGAAACGAATTGGGCAGTTAATTTCTCAATGGGTGAGACTTTATAAGGAGTGGTTGGAAGTTACTTCATCAAAGAGAAAATGGGGAAACGTGAGCAACGTGGAAGTTGAAAAAATTCGACAAAGCAAAAGTAACGATCAGAAAATTCAGGTTAAATGCGCTGAGTTGGCAGTTTTAGATTGTCACTTTGAATCTCGAGGAATACAAAGCAATAATCTGGGGCAAATTGTTATTGCAGAATTTTTGTGACGCGTCTAGAGGAAACACGTCATGGAGCATCGTCATCCCAGAAGCTGTAACTGACGTCCCATAAGTTTCGGGCTGCAATTGACTGATTCAGCAGATCCACTATTCAGTTTGTTTATTAAAGGGATCTTGTATTACCGTTACCAGAAGAACAAGTCCACTAACTACTTCCCTAATTCCATGGAGAATATATCTATCAAAAGTTCAACGGCTATTTCGAAGACCTAGATGTAACACCCTAGAAATTCTTTTCCTTTAAAACACCTATTTTACGCTTTTTAAAACACGAAATAGGAAATTTTAAGACATTACCGCCACCGTGAATACGGCTAAGACAATACCAAAGACAAATAGCGGAAGACTAATTTCAAAACCATTCAAAACAAGTCAAATTAAGAAGTCAACGAAACAAAAGTAAAGTCCACGATAGTCAAATAAAATCAACCTACAACTTAGAACCATTATAGGCCCTTATTAAAACCAGTTAAATACGTAAAACCTTTGCGTTAGTTTCATGAGTAACCATAATATAAAATAATCAAAACATTAAACACATCATAAACCAATAGAAACTAGCATGATTCGCTCTTCACTCATGCCCCGTCATGAATATGCGTCAATGCCTGAAAATCTTATCTCTACTTGTTTCCACTACTCTCCAATAAAAATGGGTATCATAGGGCCAAGATAAAGACAAGTCCTATAACACACAAACACACACAATCGGAAAAGCTGAGTACATAAGAGTATTTAAACACACTAACATGCTTTCACCTATCAACACACACTTACCTCAATGCACCTGTTCACAAGCACACACAACAATCAACAAGACTTCTCAACTAGACCACTAAATAATTTATTTAGTGTTGATTACGCATCGAACGGGTTTCCCACTCAACCTCCTCCAATAAATGAGGTTACTGACACGGGAGCTAACCGTGCCAGCATCAAAACCACACATAGGTGGTGGAATTCCTGCGCATAATAATAATAAAAGGAATGTACAGCGTCCTGTACTCCAGTAGAAGTTATGATCAAATATAAAGTCACATAACACCCCCCATATGTTCATACTCAAGGTGTATACGTTCCAAGAGTTTTGGTGCATAATCTCTTTCACTTTACGTTATTTACATATTATTAAACTTGGTGATGACTGACAGGCTCAAGTCATATTAACCCCTTCATATTATTTATGGATCCCCACAAACCTTAGAAATAAAACTACTCACACATAATTAAATCTAAACTAATCAAAGTAATAAAATAAGACATGATGAAAGAATTAAAGTAAATAATTGAGATTAAAGTAGAAGAAACTGTTACCAAATAATCTGAATTAAGGATTGAGTAAAGATCAAAGTTGTAGAGGGAGAAACTAATCTAAAAGCTAAGTAGAGAGAGAAAATCTTAGAGAAGAATTAAGAAAGAGTAAAAGAAGATACTAAACTTGCTTAACGGAAAAGTATTTATATTAAGTAAGAATCCTAAACTAAAATAAACTTATACGACGATTAAAACCTCCTAATAATGACACGCGCCCGATAGGGCCCGCCTTTTCACTTCGGGCGGGAACTCTAATGGCCGGGCGGCACTCTTGGGCTATTCCTTGGACTTCGATTGGGCTCCAATTCTTCGGGCCAATCTGGATCTCCTCCTTGGGTCTTGAATACTCGGTCCAAATGCCCCGGTATCACATATACCGAGCCCTTAATCACCGGTTCGATGGCTCTAGCCGGCCCTGGGCTATAAAAACTGGTTGTGCATCTCCAATGCTCGTATATACTCCATAATATCTCGGGAAAATGCTCCAAAAGTGCAAATCCCTACAAAAGTCAACCAAATCTACGAAAACACTAGAAAACACCAATTAGTAATAAAAGTGGCTTTAAAGAGCCAAAAACACTACTAATTATGACCAAGGGACGGGGGTAAAATACTATATAAAATGGACATATCAAACTCCCCCAAGCCAAACCTTTGCTTGTCCCTAAGCAAAGATCTCATCAATGAATAAATAAATATGCTTCACCCCAAAAAGTAAAAATCAAGCACAAACAATTCAAGGTAAATCTAATAAACATGCTTCTATATCAACCAATCTCATCCATCCAATTACTCTTCCTCCCTAACAATTGTCAAATAGAGCAAACCACAAGAGCATATAGAATTCAAGACTAGTGCTCACACACTCAACTCTCATTTATGTGGCGAGTAAAAGATGTACTCGATCGCTCTCCAACCAACCCCTTCAATGTGAACAATGCCCTCCCAACTCACACTCTCGTGTGTTTAAAAAGATGTACACTCAACCTACTAGTCGATCAAAATATGTCAAATCATAACTTGCATTGATAAAAAACACTTTCACATTCATACAACTCTATGCACAAAGGTCGGAAGGTCTTTAAATCTTGTAATGTAAGGCTAGGGTAAAGGGTAGGAAACATTTAGGAATAAGTGAGAGAAAAGCTATGCTTAAAGGGAGCAAATCCTGATAAAACCCATGATCAATATAAATAATGATCAACATCTCCAACATAACCAACTCCAACAAAAATCCATCAAATACAACTCCAATCATAGCAAACCATCCCAACACTTACAATTTCACTCATAAACATATGATAATGTAGAACTAGAGTGAATAAAAAAACTTTGAACTCATTCCTTTTTTCAAACTTAGAATTCTCATAGAAACTCATCATCTTATTTTTTTTTCTTTTGATCAACCTCCAACTAGAATATTTGAACATTGAACAATTTTTTTCCTTTTGCTTTTTTTCTATTGAAGTTCACTTTTTTTGTTTATCAACATCATGCTTTATTTTTTCAAGAGATACAACTTTCATAATCATCAAAAATAAACCACAATCAAGAACAAAATAACTTCACAAAACCCACCAAATTGTGCAAATAATAAGCACACCACAAACTCCCTCACCTCACTCACTAATAGCTCCCCCAAGTCAAGCTTGGGACTAGTAACCAATGGGGAAAATCGGCTTGTAATGTGGCTAATTAACAATAAAAATTCAAGGCAACAACATGGGTAGCAAGAAGGGAACAAATGTATCTAAAATCATCTGAAGGCTACCTAAAAGAACAAATGCCTTCGTCCTCCACAATGTGCATAATAATGAGTCATATAAACATTACTTATAGTTGCAAACCAATACTCAAATTCATTGACATACCAGGAACTATCACACATTCCTAACCAAATTAACTAGTTAAGCACTATATTCACAAGCAGTTGGACAAAATCGACGCATGTTAGGACATCTAAGCAATCAAACTTCAAATCATGATCAACAAATCCACAATGCTTATCATCATATACCAAGAATCAAAACAATATTTTCCAAGTATAAGGCACAGGGAAGCATGATTTACAATTCATTAGAACGTATTTTTGGATTTTTTATTTTTTTTTCAATTTTTTTGTATTTTTCATAGAATAAAGCAATAAAACTAACCTAGAAAGCAATAAATCTAATCTAAGAAGCACACCAAAAACAAAAGAAAAGAGAAAAAGAAAGATACCAAATCCAAAATCTCCCCCAAGCCAGAATCAGACAATGTCCTCTTTGGCTCGGGAAGTAGCCCAGCATGGCTAATCCTCATCATCCTCATCCATGGAGCCAAATCCTCCACCTCCTCTGCCACCTGCACCACCTGCACCAGAAGAGCTACCACCAAAATAATCAGCGTGAAAACTCCCCCCCGGCGGTCCCCCGAAAGGAATGTCCTGGTCGTACCCATGGAAGGCAGAATAGTCAGTATAAATACCATGGGCAATGGGATCCCTATCGTACCCCTGGGGTGAAGGCTGAAACCAGTCAGGTTAAATGGCATCGTCGGGAATGTTGCCCCGACGAGCATAATCATCATACATAGGGTAGAGAGCTTTACCCTGGTTCCTCACAAGATACCCTAATCTATGGTCAATGGAGCCTACCATCCTCCTAAGCTTAGTGTGGGAATACTCAATACGACCTAAAGCCTGATCTATACTTTGGAGGTCCCAAACTGGGTCAGAGTCAACATGGGGGACAGAGTGATACATGCGAGGTGGTGAGTGCACTACCTCGGGCTTAGGCTGGGGTGGTGGGACTGGTGGTGGTATTGGTGGTGCTTGCCCCCTAGCATGGGCAACTAATAGGTCGTATGTGTAGGACACTTTCCCGGGGGGAAAGGCGGTCAAGTCAGGACTAGGTAAGGGAAAGATAAGCAATGGTTGCTTAGTCCCAGTCCTAATACACCAGTGGGGGGGGGGGTTTGCTCACTATCCAATCGTACCCAACCCAACTCCTCAAAATACCTAGCAGTCATATAGGTATCTGGTCCACAGTTAGTCATCTGGTGGGGTCCACTCTCAACAAAACCAGTCTTTTTAACAGATATCCTAGTGATCAGGCCTCCTATACGAATAGGGGTATGAGACTGGGTACTGGTCGTGGCATGTCTACTCAGGTGGTGGATGATGTATCTACCTATGTTCAGTTTACCAAATTAAACCCATACACATAGTGTCCAATAACAGCTAGTTCATTAGTTTGGGCCTTGTGAGGCTCGTTCCTACCAAGAAAACACAATCTTGCAATCTTTGCCAGATTTTTGGGATAGGGTGATGGATAGGTTTCGTACTAGCATGTTGGGGGTCGGGGGTCAGTAAACCAGTTAAAGCATGATAAATATAACCCATTTTATAATCAGCATGCCATTGAAAAGGTAATTCAGAGTTCAATACAAATAATTTACAAAATTCAACATATGTCAAACTAATATTCCTATTATTCAACCTAAAAAATAAGTTTGGTCCATTTCTACTATTTACAACTTTCCTATTTACAACTTTCAAATAGGACAAAAATTCACACGTTAATTCACGATATGTAGGATAA